CTCTTTAGCATGAGAATGGCTCCTGGTTTTGTACCGAAACGAAGAGTTGTCAGGCTGCTCTGTCACACGGCACGTGTCAGAAGAGTCAAAAAAACTCGAGCCGATCATTTGTTTTTCACAAAAAGGAAAATTCCAGTCCTATTTAGAAAAAAGGAATTAAATCTCTCTTGTGATGACATACCACAACTCTTTCACAAATTAAACAGAATAGTAAGGCCCATGACAAGTCACCAAGATTCTCGGGAAGGCTAAAGAATGGGATTGGGAATGCGTGCATTAATAAGAAGCCCAAAATGACTACAAAACAACAGAGAAGAACGAATTTGAATTATGTAAATACATCCTCTAATAATGCATTTTGGTTTTGGTTCATTTAGGACAGCACAATTACCTGTGTGCGGGAAGGAATGACTGCATAATTGATAAGATTCGGAGGAAGAACTGCCCAGCCTGTCGATTACAGAAATGTCTCCAAGCTGGAATGAATTTAGGAGGTAAGCAGAATATTAATAGTTTGGTCTCTTAATTTGATTAGGTAAAAACACTGGAAATGTGCAGCCTTTTTATAGTTCTGGCAACTGCATAATCTCAAAAGTTTAAGGTGGAATTATCCTGAAGAAGTGCTTAATAGCTAATAAACTCTATTGTCATTCTAAATCAAGTTTTGGAGATACATATTTTATGGCTGAGAAGAAAGAAATGTGGGTGTTTTATGATGACAGTAATTTTAGTGGAATCTCATATAGCTAAAAGTGTTAAGGTTCCAAGTGTTGCGTGCTTTCATTTTGGTGATGAGCATTATCTTGAATACCAAAAAACATTTTACACTATCAGGAGAGCAAATTCATGCATAGTGAATCCTCTCAACGTTTTGTGTTGCTTATTCAGCATTTATATTGCTTTATTTCTACAACTGTATGGATATGCAGCAATTTTGTTGATGTTACTCTGTCGTTCATGTACCAACAAGAAAAAGGGAAAACCTTTTTCTTAATAATTATCAAAAGTATTTTGGAAACAGTGTGATAACAAAACTTATAGTAGTTTTTTCCATTAATTCTTCATTTGCCATGTCTGCACAATTCTCGCTGTGCTTCAGTGGGCATCTTGTTTCAAGTCATCACCTGAGCAAATTGTGTTACAAATCACTTTTTCCCACCACTCTTAGGTTTATTATGTTGTCTGTAAACAGGGGTTTGGATACTGCTGCAGGTCTTTTCCCTGATGCACAGAGTGACCCTTCTCTTAGAGTGTTTTCAGTGTTCCAGAAAATTATAACATGGTCACATTAATTGCTCCAAATCATTTCCTATCTCTCAATTTGCTTTTTATCCTCCTGGACCTGTTCTCCTAGTAGCTTAGTTTAATTCTACAGACAGATTTTAGCTGCTTGTCTTTCATAGGTTGTATGCAAAATCCTGCTTCCTGCCTGCTGCCTGGTACCTTCTTCTACCTCCCAGACTTCTTTTTCTGTCTTGTCTCCTGGCAGAAACACTCAAGCAAGCTGCCTGCTTACTTTTTTGGGGAAAGTAGCTCTGTTACGACCTCTTTCAACGGCTTTCTCAATTTTGAGGTGCTGTGTTGCCATCTAGGCCCCTAGTTTCTGCTTCCCAAAGGAAAACAGGGGCTGGATCATGGGACGTTGGGGGCTGCCAGCTTTCCCTTATTTTTGACCTGCACTGTTGAATGTAGGAAGGGAAGCAGAACGGCACCTTCGTTTGATGAAACAGGAGCTCCATGGTAGCTGCTTCTTACCAAAAAAAAGGTGCTGAAAATGTGCATGGAGCAGGAAGCCCAGTGCCTTGGAGTGCTGGAAATTTTGCAGCAGCCCACCAGCAGCGGGTGCAGAGCGTCCTCCGTTGCCGTGCCCTGCACGGTGCCAGCAGACCTCCGGCAAGCCAGCCTCCCTGGGCAGACAGGTGTGCTTGGTGCTCTAACAAAACACAGGGCTGCCATCCGACTTGATAACCTTTTGAAGCAGCAGCACTTGACACTTCGTCTGCATTGTCATGTGTTCATCACTGCGATCTCCTGGTGCGTTTCAAAGGACGCATTCACACTGTAATGTCTGCAAAAAAAAAAACGAGGGGGTAAGCTTCGCTTGAGGAGGTTACTTTTTTTTTTTATATACATGTTGGCTGGAATGCCGTCAATGAGGAATGCATTGCAAAATCTTCTCTTGTGTTGGAGCTTAGTAGTCTGCTGGAAATTGTAATTAGTGATCTGCATTTAATGACCTTAGGAGGCCAAGTCTGCCTCTGCAGCGTATAGCTGAAATGCGGTTGAGCTTTGCAGTTTAGCTGTTTCGGTGATTTTCTTCACGCAGAGAAACTAAGGTGAAACTCTCTTTCCTGGCTTGATCCCTTTATGCCACATAAAGGAGCTAAAATGGCATAAAAAGATCCTTCTGTCATGAATGAGACAGTGACAGCTCTGGACATCAGTGCAATATGGTGCCTTTACGTGGTCCAGGAGATGGAGGCAGAGGGGAGGGCTGCCGGAGACAGGTAAAGTGCCTGCAGCCCAGAGACAGGTTACTGTTTAGAAGGCCCCAAGGGCTGCCAAAATCTGCTAACGAACCATTCACCCTTTGAGCCAGCCCAGATCTGGCAGGAAATGTTGGTAGCTTCTTCCTCGGTGCTGAGCTTTGCATTGGGCATCTACGGAGGAGCAACGCAGCATCTCAGGCTTAATTTTGGAAACTTCTGTGTGCTGTTGCAGGGGCTTTCTGATACAGTGGAGATCATCACCAAAAAGGAGGTGGAAATGGCAAGAAGAGATCTTACAATCATAGTATGATTTCGGTTGGAAGGGACCTTAAAGATCGTCTAGTTCCAACCCCCCCTGCCATGGGCAGCAACACCTTCCACTAGACCAAGCTGCTCAAAGCCTCATCGAGCCTGGCCTGGGATGCTTCCAGGGATGGGGCATCTAAAACTCTTCTGGGCAACCTGTATCAGTGCTTCACCACCCTCATTGTGAAAAAAATTTCTTCCTTATCTCTAATCTAAATCTCCCCTCTTTCAATTTAAAGCCATTGCCCTTTGTCCTACCACTGCACGCCCTTGTCAAAAGCACCTCTCCAGCTTTCCTGTAGGCCTCCTTTAGGTACTGGAAAGCTGCTATAAGATGACCCCAGAGCCTTCTCTTCTCCAGGCTGAACAACTCCAACTCTCTCAGCCTGTCTTCATAGATAGGAGAGGTGCTCCAGCCCTCGGATCATCTTCATGGCCCTTCTCTGGACCCGCTCTAATAGCTCCATGTCCTTCTGAAGCTGGGAGCCCCAGAGCTAAACGCAGTATTCCAGGTGGTGTCTCACGAGAGCAGAGTGGAGGGGCACAATCACCTCCCTGTACCTGCTGGCCACGCTTCTTTTGATGCAGCCCAGGATATGGTTGGCTTTCTGGGCTGCAAGTGCACATTGCTGGCTCATGTTGAGCTTCTCATCAACCAACATCCCCAAGTCCTTTTCCTCAGGGCTGCTCTCAATCCATTCTCAACCCAGCCTGTACTTGTGCTTGGCATTGCGCTGACCCATGCTCAGGACCTTGCCCTTGGCCATGTTGAACTTCATGAGGTTCTCACAGGCCCATCTCTCAGCCTGTCAAGGTCGCTCTGGATGGCATCCCTTCCCTCCAGCGTGTCTATTAATAAGTATTTGAAAACAGTCATTTTCTCTTCATATAAATTTCCAAGGTTTGGCATTAAATAACAGTTTTTCATAAGTAGCTTGAATAAACTTGAGTATGTTGGTATTATTATGAAGATTCATCATAACTTATAGTTTCATGTGGTCAGCCTAGTTTTGCCAAGAATATACATTACTCCGATAAAAATGGACTTTTACCTGTTTCTAATTTGGATTTACAGGCAAAATGTGCAAGTATTTCTTTAGGCAATGTGATCATTAAGGAGCTGGAGGAAAATGAACTTCTAAATGCAGTTTAGTTTGAAGTCCTGTTTGCAGCATAGTGCTCTGTATAGCTGAGTCACACTGCACAGTGCTGCGCTCTTTGTGCAGCAGATCTAATTTAAGCTCTCATCCTCCAAATGGAAGCAAAGGTAAACACAAAAACCAAACCGTATCAGAGATGCCTATGTGTGTGGTTGGTGAGAAATAAGTAACTTGATATGCCGAAGGGTCGTAAGCAGAGCTCAGGGCTGAAATGTGTGCAAGCCGTCGACATTTCTTTTCCACTTGTATATAATTGGAATGTTTTATCCCAGCGTCTTGGGAAAAAAAAAAAAAAAAAGAAAACTCAACTTCCAGTTGATCTAGAAGAAATGTTGCCTTAGGGAACAAGGTCCTGTCTCCCATGAGCTGCAAAAGAACTTGACTCTACTTTACAGCTCTCCCCATCTACAGATGGGAGTGAAAGACCCCAGGCTCCCACCCAGCTCCTTCTGCTTACTGCAATAGGGGATTTATAAAGCAAATTTTGTAATTTGAAAGTTTGTTATTGTCTTCCCGTTGTTACTGAAGATAGTAATCTCAGTTGTGAAAAACTGGAAATGAGAAAGCGAGTTTCCATGTTTCCTGAAGCACATTTTTGCATGATCTCTGGTTAATCTACTGATCTTTTTACTTTGGTCTTTTTTTTTTTTTTCTTCTGCCTTTTGGTTGTATTGTTTCTGAATATTTTAAAAACGTTCTTTCTTTTGTTTACTGTGTCAAAGCATTACAGGTTTGTTTTGATGGCATATCTTCTACTTCTCAGCATGCTAATTTTTTTTTCCTAAAAAAAATAATATTTTGATGTGTGGCAGTATGCCATGCTTTAAGCACCTTTTAAAAAATACATGTAATTCAGTGATACAAAATACACCTTTTCATGAATGCTCAACCAAATTAATTTGGCAGTTATATTGTTTGCCTTCTCCTTTTGTTTGTTGAAAAATTTGAGTGTTTTCCAAGCTCTTACATCCTCTAATAATCTTTAGAAAATTATTCCTCAAGTCAGCAAATAATTTACCTAATTATGTTCTTTTCTCAATTTTTGTTTTGATTTTTGTAAGAAGCATCTGCAACCTGTAATTTCTGCAAAGCTGAAGTTGCTAAATATCATGTTAATTCATCCTCTTCATTTCTAGGAAATATATGTGTGCACTGCAGACAAACGTACCCCTTCAGCACGTAGGACCCCAAAACTTTTTTGGGAATCATAGTTTGTTTGTTGTTTTGGTGGTGTGTTTTTTTTTTTCTAAACTCCAGTACCATATGCTAGACTTAATTATTGGAAGAGATTCAGAGTGAGCAACTGCACTATGAAGGTATGCTGGCCCATTTTTGGTTTATGCTCTTTTCAAGATTCTGTAATTAATTTTCAGTTAATTATGGACCAGAATGACTTCATGAATTGTGAAGTTTCTTGCAGCATACGCTGTGATCAGATTTGTCGGGTCTCTCACTTCCACACGAGATGTTTTCGTTTGGCTCCCACTTCATGCTGCTGTTCCTTAGTCATGTCTGTCCCCACGGCAGCACTGGTGGGCT